TAGTCTCATTGCTCTGGCTACCTTAGGGCTGCGTTCCCTGCGCCCACGAAGTAGACAATTTGCAAAATACCCCCATAAGTTCAGATATAAGCAGAAATGCCCCTAAATGATGTGGGTCTAGCGGAATGCCCTTTTCGTCCGAAATCTTTGTGTTATTCCCCTTGTCAGGCCGGCGGGGTTTGGGCCTTGGCCTTTTGCAGTAGGCACTTGGAAAAGTTAGCAGGTGAGTGCTGGAGCATTTTGCAAAGTTGGGGGGTACCCAGTAGGGGCATATTTCAAAGATGGGGGTTCCAACTGACAGCAGGGTTATATCACAAAACTGTTTCTGTCAGAGGGGCATTCCGCTCTACCCACATCTTTTAGGGGCATTTTAGCATATATATCTCAGCTTACGGGGGTAATTTGCAAATTGTCCCTTATCAGTATCATATTAGGGGGAACCCCGTAGCAACCATGCGGAGTTCAAGCCTCCAAGGAGGGACCATGCGGAGGCTGCACCAGACCTGCAGGTGGGCGATACCAGTCAGGGGGTCAGCCGGTAGCGTCGGGACCGAGTGTCTTCGATGGGCCAGTCGCTGCGCCTCCCCTTCGGTGGGTGTGAGTGGGACCTACCCCCCTGTCCCCACCTCCGGTCCCCTCCCACTACTGCGTCCTTCTGTTTTTCCCGTTCTGCTGCTTGAGCACAGTCTCAAGGGATGTTCAAAGCGGGAACAGCCTTTACTGTCAGTACAGAGGCATTCGATTGAGCGAATCAGCGTCCTCCTCGTCGTCGGAGGAGAAAGCAGGCAGGAGAGAAGTTGGGGAGGTGAGTTGCCTGCAATTCGTTTTCGTTTTCGGTTTCGTTTCTCCCGCGAATTCCTACCCCCCTTTTTTTTTTTTTTTCACCGTGTTGCTCTTGGACCCGCGCTTTTGCTTTTCGTAATGTTTCCCGCGCTATTTTTTCTTTTCGTTTTCGTTTTCGTTTGAATTTTGTGTGTGTTTCATTCCCCGCCATTTGTGTTCCTTTCCCCGCGCATGGCGCGAGCATGGCGCAATGAGCTTGAAAGATGATGCCGATATATGGTTCGCCTTTGCGCACGCGCGTGTTTGAAGCTCTGCCCCCCTCTTCCTCCTCTGGAGGGTCTAGTTGTTGCACCACTCGCCATCCGCCTACTTTCCGAATGCATCAGGGGCAGTTTCCTGTTCAGATGCATTCGAGATCTTTGCGGGTGGCGAGTAGTGCAACTACGGTAGGCGCTGAGTACCTTGACTGGTTCCCGCTATGGCGGCGGTTTGCGCGCGTCGTGGCTCCCCCTCCTCCTTTTTCCTCCGTTGCGTGACAGCCTTGCCTGTATGGTCGTGGCTCTGCTGATGGAAAGCCCTGGGGGCGAGGAGCTCCCTCTTGCAGGGGGGCCAGGTCCCACTTACCCGAATAATCGATTTCTGACCGCAGATTCGGAAGATCAACGACCAGAAATCAAGGATCAGCGTAAGTGGGACTTGGCTCCGGATCAAGAAAAGATATTGGCCGTTGATCACCTTTGATGCCCGTTGATCTTACGGCCGCCACTCTTACTCCGGCCAAGTGGGACCTGGTCACGGAAGTTCGATTGCAAAAGGGGGGGAGGAGGGGGNGGGGGGGGGGGGGGGGGGGGGGGGGGGGGGGGGGGGGGGAGGAGGAGAAGGAAGTTGCTTAGAACACCAGAGAGATGGCAGGAGGTCGAATGCCAGATGAGGATCCTAAATTAGGCCCTCATCTGGAGATGTTGGGGGGGAAAGGACGGGCAGAGAACCGTTGTGTTTGCCGCGGAAAGGCATGTGAATATGTGGCGGTGGGCTCTGGCAATATCGCTTGGGAGGAGAAGGAAGCTCCTACAGGATTGGCACAGCAAGAGGGAGGAGAAAGCGGCGGCAGCGGAGGAGGAGGAGAAGGAGGAGAAAGAGGAGGAGGAGGAGGAGGCGGAAGAGGAGGACGAGGAGAAAGAGGAGGAGGAGGAGGAGAAGGAGGAGGAGGAGGAGGAGGAGGAGGAGGAGGAGGATATCGTGTTACCGGGGCAGGCGATGGACACGTGTGCCGAGTTTGGGTCCTCTTGCCGAGTCTTAAGTGCGGGCAACAACCAACTGGCCTACCGTCTTCACCCGAATAGAACGCCCGGTAATTATCGCCGTATCTGGGCTGAAAATTGTGCCAAATACAGCTATTATGACCGGGCGTTCTATTCGGGTGAAGACGGTAGCTCAGTTAGTACACCCTTGAACTGTTGAAATACAGAGACCAAAGTTCCAACTCCAGGTTGAGTAAAATGCTCCCAATTAATACTCCCAATTAATACTCCCAATTAATACTCCCAATTCTGAATTACCTAGGGCCGGTCAATTCGATGACGATATCTGTAAGGCCGTCGCCCTTCTTCCGGGAAAAAAAAAAAAAAAGAAAAAAAAGAAAGCGCGGACAGTAGGCGAACGCGGGGACAGGATGAGCGTTGGTGGGTACTTGATGGGAAGAGCAGACGGCTTTTTTTTGTTTTGCGGGCGCAAATGCTGCACACACGTAACTATCGACTACTGTAATAGGTCATGAGTTTGAATCCTGATGGACACCATAATACGAGGGCCTAGCTGCTTAAAACAACAGTAAAGAGAGAAAAGAAAGGTAGATACAGCAAGCAGTTGGTCTGACAAGCGAGAGGGAGGAGGTGAAATTATGCCTATTTCAGGCTGGGGCGCTGATCGTGCGCCTTAGTTTCTCTGGTGGGATTGATTATGACTCCGTACGCCTCCTCTACGGCGGTGGCGCGTTTCTCAGCATCGTTGCGCTACTGGTTGATTGGCTTCGGATGACGTGGCGCGCTGCGGACGTCGTGCGGTCCGGGTTGATCGAAGGACCATCGGGTATGCGACGTGGCTGACGTGGCGTGTTGCTGATGTCGTGTGTGTGTGTGTGGGGGGGCTTTTTGATTGGCTTCAAAGGTCGATATAAGATCACGTGCATCAATTTGCGTCAATCGTAGGGCAGGTATTGCCTATCACGAAGTCATATGTGTATGGCACATAGGACCTCGCTCCACTACCATCCACGTGCGCAAAAGACAAAAAATATGGCCATGTATCTTTCCATGTTCTAGCGAAAGATTCATTTTCATTTTCCACATTTGGAGAGTAGTGGAGCGAGGCCCATATATAACTATAAGACGTTAGAAAGTTCGGGTCGATGGGATTTTCGCCTTTTTTTTTCCACAACTTGGCAGGCGACGCTGCCACGAAGTGAGCCTCGATATTGCCGATGAAATATTACTGTATATTTCATCGGGTGTGCCACGTGGGTGACATGACGTGTTGCTGATGTCGTCCCGAGGGGGGGGGGGGGGGGTTGATTGGCTTCGGATGACGTGGCGTGCTGTCGTGCGGTGCCGTTGATCGGCTCGGATCATTGGATTGGATGTACCACGTGGGTGAAGTGGGGTGGTGATGATGTTGCCCCCGGGGGCTGGTTGATTGATTTCGGATGACGTGGCGCGCTGCGGACGTCGTGCGCTGCTGCTGATTGATTGATGATTGGATAGTTGGATGTGCCGTATGCTGATTGGTCATCGGATGGTCGGATGTGCCACGTGGGTGACGTTGTGTATCGCTCGTCGAAGGCCCACGTGGCGGGATTAGCTCGTCCTACGGTCTTCCCCCGAACCGAACTTACCCAGATCACGAATGTATACAAGCGATCTTTTCGGTCCGATGCATTCTCGTTTGTGGGTGCGTTGTGTTCGGGGGGGAAAGACGGGAAGAGTTAAAAAAAAACAAAAAAACTACGGCTATCGTGCCGGGATCAGATCGTGCTTCCGGTTCCCCCGAACACAGCGCACCCGGATCCAGAAAATGTTATACTTCTGTCCTCTGTCCTCACCCGAATAGAAATAAGGAATGCAAGGTCGTTATCGCTGTATCTATACAGGAAGTTGGCCAAGTACAGCCGTAACCGACTGTCCTAGCTCAGTTGGTACACACATATCAACTGGTGAAATACAGACCAATGGAATATAAGATGAGTATAAATAGCTCTGAAAAATTTATCTGGGGCCGGTCAGTTCAAAGATGGTAGATCGAGGCCGTCGTCTTTTTTTTTTTTTTTTTTTTTTTTTTTTTTTTTTTTTTTTGAAAAAAACCAGCCACAGTGACAGGGCGCTCTATTCCGGTGAAAATGGTAGCTGATAATCTTTCCCGTCGGATGCACTCATGGTGAGGGTGCGTTGTGTTCGGGGGACCAAGAAGGCCTGATGATGGCATTGAGGGATCATGTGCTGCACTGGAAGTGGCTCATTTGCATCACTTACCGTCTTAACCAGAATAGAACGTACGGTCATTATCGCCGTATGTATTTGGACAAATTTCAGTCTAGATACATCAATACTAGTAAGTACGGAGCCTCATCCGTACTATCTGATTTACAGAAAAAAAAAGGAAAACGGACCCGCATCCAACTGGCCTAACTTAATTGCTACATCCATGAACTGTTGAAATACAGACCCAAGCTCGAATCCAGCTCCAATCAGATGAACAAACGAGTTCAGCTCTCAATCAGATGATCAGAACAAGATATAAGTAATTTCAAGGCCGTCGCACTTTCCAAAAGAAGTATGGTCCCTCATCCAGTCAGTTTAATCAGACCGGTCCAGGTGCATCAGCATTGTGAGCAGCTTCAGGAACAGTAAGCAAACAAATGGGAGGGAGGATGATGTGGAGGAGGAAGCAACCCCAGAGCAGCAGCAGCAGCAGAAGAAGAAGAAGAAGAAGAGGAAGAGGAAGAGGAAGAAGGAGAAGTGGAAGAAGAATGAGAAGAATGGGAAGCAGCAGCAGCAGCAGCAGCAGCAGCAGCAGCAGAAGAAGAAGAAGAAGAATAAGAAGAAGAAGAGAAGGAGAGAAAAAGAAGAGGAAGAAGAAGGAGAAGGCGAAGAAGGGAAAGAAGAAGAAGAAGAAGAAGAGGAAGAAGAAGAAGAGAAGGAGAAGAGGAAGAGGTGTGTATAGTGAACAGCAACGGCCTTAGTTGCTGACGGGAAAATTATGTTGTTCTGTTCATCTGCTGGCAGCTGGAGTTGAACTTTGGTCTGTAGTTCAACAGTTCATAGGTGTACCAACTGAGCTAGGCATCTGAAGAATGATGACGTGAGAAGAAAAAGAGGGGAAAAAAAAGAAAGGAGGACTTTGGGCCAACTTTCGGTCTAGATACAGCAGCCAGATTGGCAACCTGATAGTCGGCTGGTGAGGTAGAAGAACAGAGGCGGAGGCTGTCCATGCTCAGGAGCTCAGAGGCGATAAAGAAGGCCCACATACTTCTGCCGTCGACCATACTTGAGAAGCAGAAGAAGAAGAGGAGGGTGGTCTCAAAGAAAGAGCCTCTTTTTTTTCTTTTTCTTTTTTTTTGTTGTTGTTGTCCTTCGGGACGTCCGTTAAAGTTGGAACGATACAGAGAAGATTAGCATGGCCCCTGTGCAAGGATGACACACACACACAAAAAAAAAAAAAAAAGAAGGAAAAAAAGAAGAAAGCCTTTAGTAAAAAGCCTTTTTTTTTTCTCAAAGAAAAAGCCTGCAATGGTAATAAGTGCAATGGATGAAGCTTGCAGCGTCAGAGGGCCAAGAGAATTGAGCAGGAGGAGAGGAGAGAAAGGAGGAGGAGAAGAGACTCAAGAGAGGAGGAGAAAAGAGGAGAGGAAGAGATGTGTGACTCTCTGAGAGGAATAGACAACGCTTTTTTTTTTTTTTTTTTTTAAACCGCTAGTACAGGCCCCAGCTTTGCAGAAAAGAAGCTCGTCGCCTTCTCCGAAAAATTTGGGGCCGGGTGGCTGTTGATAAATTTGATTGACGGCCTTTGCCGCATTTCTGGCCTCTGAAAGTCGTGGTGAGGGGCCCCTGCCCGTGGACTTGTGTACTGGTGGTTTAAACTACCAGTACACGGCCTCAGCTATCGGCCGTGGGGAAAAATAGAGTAGAAACGTTTCTAGTCGGATGAATTTGGGCGCTCCTGTAGTTCCTAAAATCGTGGCGCGTTAACGGGCAGGACTCTAGGAAGTACTGGTGGTTTAAACTACCAGTACACGGTCTCAGCCTTGCAGAAAGAAACTGGTCCCCACCACCATCTTCCCCCTGGGCAACTTTCGGGGCCGGCACGCCATTGATGAATTTATCAGCGGCTGGCGCCGCGGGACCGGCCTCCCCCGAAAAGGGGCCCGCGACCAATGTATGGGTGGTACTGGTGCTGTAAAGGCGACGGTCTTGACGGGCCTTAGGTAATTCAGAATTATTTTGTTCTGTTCATCATCTGATTGCATCTGGATTCGAACTTTGGTCTGTGTACTTGAACAGTTCAAGGGTGTACCAACTGAGCTAGGGCCGTTGGTTTCAGATGGGACCATAGATCAATGGGGGGAGAGATGTTTATGACAGAACACATGCCAATAACAGAACAGATGTTTATAACAGAACAGATGTTTATAACAGAACAGATGTTTATAACAGCACAGAGATTGTTGCCAGGAAGCCAGGGAATAAAGATGGAGTTTTGAGAGAGGGTAGTAGTGGGATGCAGTGTAGAGGAAACCTGAAGAATGTTGTGGAGGAAGCAGCAGTGGAGATGGTGAAGTGGGAAGGGGTAATGGTTGTGTGAAGGAGTTGATTGACAAACTCCTTGAGAGTGGTTGGAGGTCAGGGGGAATGATAAGTGTGAGGCAGAATAGGATCTCTAGATAGATTAAACGGTCATGGAGGATGTAATATTGAAGACGGGGGAAGTAAGAGAGAGGGAGAAGGCAGGGAGGAAGAGGAGGGGGGGGGGGGGGGGGGAGGAGAAGGGGTAGACTAAAAGATAGATTAAAGGGTGGGCTAGGGAAAAGGCAGAGAATGTCTTTCAGAGTGGTTGGACGTCAGGAGATGGTCGTCTTGGCATGAAAAATAAAAACGGGGTCCGGTTGACTCCAGTATAGATAGGTCGAATGTGAAGGAGGATGTCATGTCGAGGAGTGGGAAGTTAGTAGTGAGGGAGGGGGCAAGGAGGAAGAGGGGGCAAAGGGATAGGCTAGAAGGTATGATGAAAGGGTGGGCTAGGGGAAAGCCAAGTCAGACCTGCTGTCAACAGGGCAACAATAAAAAGTGTGAGCAGTCGCAAAGCAAGGTGGGCAAAGAGAAAAAGGTGGGGGTACGGACTATAAGGGGACGTGTGATGAGGGGTCACAAAGGGGTAAACTTGGAGAAAGCAGGAAGGCCCTGGAAGGGTGACAAAGGGGTAAACTTGGAGAAAGCAGGAAGGGTGACCAAGGGTCAACAGGGCAACAACGAAAAGTGTGAGAGGTGGCGAAACAGGGTGCGAAAGGAGGAAAAGGTGGGAGTATGGACTAAGGGGAACTGTAATGAGGGGTGACAGAGGGGTAAAATTGGAGAAAGCAGGAGGGGTGATAAAGGGAAAAAGGTGGGAGTATGGGACTAAGTGGAGATGTAATGAGGGGTCACAAAGGGGTCACAAAGGGGTAAACTTGGAGAAAGCAGGAAGGGTGACAAAGGGTAAACTTGGAGAAAGCAGCAGGGGTGGCAAAGGGTAAACTTGGAGAAAGCAGGAGGAGGGGGCGACAAGAGGTGAAATTAGAGAAACATGAGGAGGTCATTGAGAAGGGGTAGGGTAGGTAGGTATTGAGGCAAAGCTGGATGAATGAGCCGTGGACCACGTGCATAGTGGCGGAGCACTGGCTATGGTCCAGGCTCGTCGTGAGATGGGACTAGGTGGCTGATAGTTGTTGGAATGTGATAGCAATGTTAGACCCGTAGTTCTTCCCTGGGCACTCGGTACCCGAGCCAAAAGCTGGATGGATGAGCCGTGGACCCTGCACTACCGTCTTCACCCGAATAAAACGCCCGGTTATTATCACTGCATCTGGACTGAAAGTTGTGCCAAATGCAGATACAATGACTGGACGCTCAATTCGGGTGAAGACAGTAGTGGCAGAACACCGACTCGAGAAAGGCTGCTGCGGTTGCAGGTGCTTTGAGCCAGGCTCGTCGTGGAGGCCTAGATGGATGGGACTACCTAGGTGGCTGATGGTCGGAACGCGACAGCAATGTCAGAATATCTACTCAACCCATAGTTCTTCCTCGGGCACCAGAATCGAGACTTCGCGGATTATGTGCCGTGCCCCATTCCTGAAGCCTTATTCCGATTTGTTCATCTGATTTCATCTGGATTCGAACTTTGGTCTCTGTATTTCAACAGTTTGTGTGTGTACCAACTGAGCTGTGCCCATCGGTTGGTCTCCATTCCCGAAGCCTATGCCTGATGTTTGTCACAGCCGCACTCATCAGGGGATTGTCAGTGTTGTTTCAAAACCTTTTGATCCCATAACCAAAGGTTACAATGAGCTAAATCCTGGTCATAAGTCCTGGTTGTACCCTTCTTGGACCCAGGGACTAAGCCAACAAAAAAAAAAAAGGAGGGGACCCCCTGGGCTCAGGGTTCCCAGGGGGGGTCCAGGGGCACTTGTTGGTATGATGATAGCACCGCCGAAGAGAAATAGGAGGGACGTAATGGAAATGTTCTGGTATCAAAGCATTTTTCTTCAAAACCAGTATGTGTACCAATCCTAGTCGTGATGACGAGGGTTCAAACCCTGCCTGCTTTCACTGCTGTTTGATTGTTTTTTTTTTTCATTTATGAACTACTGCACAGAGCAGCAGACGACATAGGGGTAGATGGTGGCCTCTAGATGTTTTGGCAAGAATAGGTAAAGACAAGCACGTGTCTAAGCCCTTGAGTGACTTCTCGGCGAAGTGTTCGCTATAGCCATTCTTTTCTCTGTACGGGCATACTGACTCGACCATGCAAAGGTAACTTTGCTGAGTTGAGCCAAGCAACTTAACTAAGGACATACAGTGTCTGTTGGTGTCTGTTTGCAGCGTTGCCGGCGCACCGGTCGACGAGCTCCTGGCGACCTGTGTGCCAGAGAGAGGGATGGTCATCATGAGCTGCAGAGGCCACAGAAAGTTGGTGTATATCATTAAGTGATCAGTTTGGAGCTGGTTGCTGGGTTGCTGTGTTTTTTTTTTTCACAAGCAGCACAGTCGGGAGATCGTATCGGCACAGGTCAGGATCGTCAGATATCAGATCGGACGGCCAATGGCGGAGTAGCAGAGGCGCCGCGGCAAACAATTTTTGACTCTGCCATGCATGCCTAGGTGTGCCTAGCAACTTAGCTGAGGACAGATATAGTCCATTAGCATCTGTTTGGCAGTGTCTGATGTGTGCAGGCTGACGAGTTTGTGGTGATGTGTGTTTCAGAGCGACAGTCATCGTCATCGTGTGCTTGTAGAGGCGGAAGAAGGGTGGTGTTTGTCATGAGACAATGAGTTTGAGTTTTCCAGCTCCTTGTTGTGTTGGTCTGTCGAGGAGCAGCAGAGAATCAGATCATGCGACAGTCAGTTGGTTGTGGTGCTATCCTACGGACAGGCCTATCTCAGTTGGTACCCCCATAAGTGTTGAAAAATGCAGACCTGTGTTCGAATCCAGATGGAACCCGACGAACAAAATTCATGACAAAAGACAGTAGGTTTGCCGCTAGTTGGTGTATGTTGATCTGCTTGGGAGCGGAGAAGGAGTCAGGAAATCAGCTCAGCTCAGATCAGATCAGCTCAGATCAGACTGCAGCTGATGGAGCAGCAGAGGAGCTGGGACAAACTGTTGTTAGCTGACTGACTTGGATTGGGAATATTGCGCTGATTCCATTTGAGGAGTATGGAGGAAGGGAGAGGAGGGGTTGGGGGTGGGGGTGGGACAACAGGTCTCCATGAAGAGGATAGTGAAGATACAGAGGGTAGCTTAGAGAGGGAGCTAGAAGTGCAGCTGGTGGAGCACAAAGACTCTCTGGCTGCTTTGACGGCAGCCATCCAAGTGGAGCCTAGTGAAGAGCTTCTGCAAGTGCAGGCTGAGCTTGAGGAGGCTTGCAGATCTGCAGAGCAAAGCCTACTTCATCTAAAACGAGCGCGATTGCTCAAGGAGTGTGCTGAAATGACAGAAGGTGTGGCAGGTGCTGATGATGAGCCAGCAGATGCTGCTGGTGGATCCAGCAATGCTGCCAATCCCAAGGACATCCACACCAAAGGCCACGCTACCGAAACGCTACCATTGTCATCAGAAGTGGGAAATGCTGATCGTGAAGCAGCCGCCGACCGTATTGAAGCAAAGATTGACAAGGCAGAGACAGTATGCCGGGCCCGGAATTTTACCAGGGGGTCAAAGTGCCAATTCTTGCATGCAGATGGGAGGTGGTATGCTGGAGAGGTTTTGTGGAGTGGGGAGGTGACAGCCGAAGCGCTTAGAGATATAGGTCATGGCAGCGCAGGTAACAGTGAGCCAGGGAGCAGCTTTGCAAGGGTGAGGTTTCTCCATCCAAGTAAGGAGTCCGTACAGACGTGCAGGTTCTTCTTGCAAGGAAATTGCCGATTCGACAACAATTGCAGGTTCTCGCATGGCACACTGATACCTGCCAATTCGCTTCGAGAATTTGGTTCGAGTACCGGTAGTCTGCAAGATTTACGGCTCGGGAAAAGTGTTGCTGGCTCAGATGATGGTGATTGCAATAGCTATGACGATGGCAGCGAAGAGGAAGAGGATGACGATGACGAGGAAGAGGAGGAGGAGGAGGAGGAGGAGGAGTGGGAGGAGGGGGAGGAGAATGGAGAGGTAGACGAGGAGTGGGAGAGGAACACTGGGCTTGGGAACCTGTTCGAAGAGGCCGCGGCGATGGCCGAAGCAGGGCCCCAGAACGAAGTTGTCAACTTTGTCGATTGGGAGCAGCACACGCGAGGCATCGCCTCGAAGATGATGGCGAAGATGGGTTACCAAGAGGGAATGGGACTAGGGAAACTTGGGCAAGGAATTCAGGTCCCACTTCCGGTGCGTGTGTTGCCAGCGAAAAGGGGCCTTGATTATGTGGCCAGTAAACTGCCGGAGGCTAAGGAGGCGAAGCGAAAGAAAAGAAAAAGAGGGGGAGAGAAAGTGCAGAGAAGAAAAGCGGCGTTAGCGGCCAAGCAACGGGAACTGGAGCAAGAGCGTTCCGACGGCGATATGTTTGCGCTTATCAATCGGCAGCTGCACTCGTCGTCAGCGACGGTGTCAACTCAAGATGCTGCTGCCAATGATAGCAAGGGAGCAGCCGCCGCGAAAACAGGGAAGGCTGTGGACAGAAAATCACTGCTCTTAAAAGTTGATCAGGTACGTGAGCTGAAGGAGACGATCGGCAAGTTGGAAGAAATGCTTGAGCGCAACAAAAATGAAAAGCCAGTGTACGTCGCTGTCCAGAAAAAGCTGGAACATGCCAGGTGTGCCCTGGCTCAAGCAAACGCTGCCCACAACAGTGTGCGGGACATCCTGAATGAGAAGGACGCACACAAGAAATGGTTGAAGTTCTGATGATTGTGCTTCAAGGTTCGAACTCGAAAAAGGTTTATTCCACTGCCAGCATAACATCCCAAAAGCCAGAGCTGCCGACGACATGTGCATGCCACACAGGAAATGGTCAGGTTCTTCCCCTGGTTCGCCCTCGATGGTTCATTCCGGTATGGTGGAAGTTCCGATCGTGGTTCGGACTCGCGATCTCCTAGACGAGAAGGACGCACACAAGAAATGGTCGAAGTCCTGATCGTCTTTCGAACTCAAAAGTTTTATTCCACACCACCATAACATCCCAAGCAAACGCCGCCCACGACATCCGCATGCCATCGTGGATGGGAGAGAGGGAGACACGCAGGAAATGGTCCAGTTCCGAGTCTTACGTTGGTTTGACCTCAAGGTTAATTCCGGTACAAGATCGCAAGCGAGAACTTCCCGTACGATTCCTCCCGACAGCCTGGACGAGGAGGCACACAAGGGATGGTTGTGGCTTCTGACCCGGGTCTCAATGCAAAGCTCTCTTTTTAAGCAGTGGGTTGACAAGGTATGGACCTGGACCTGAACCTGGACCTGAACCTGGACCTGAACCTGGCTTCTGACCCGGGTCTCGCGTTAATAACATCCAATAATCAATGGGTTGACAACTTGACACCCACTGCTTGATTGGTAGCAGACGCGGCGGAAAGGAGCATCATTGTGGAAAGCATACGGTAGATGGAGAGGAGGTGTAAGGGGACAGTGGCAAAGCGGCGCTGGGCTTCAATGGGCCCGCCGGAATGGGCTGCTGTGAACTTGTATGAAGGCAATTTGAAGAGTTAATGAGAGTGCCATAGTGTGTTAGCTTTTCGGGAGAATGAACGAGGTGGTGTTAGGTTTTAAGCGAATGAACGAGATAGTGTTCCTCGAATTGAAAACGACCAGCTTGGGAAAGGTGCACTATATGAAAAGAACACCCACTTTCACCACCACTCTCTTCTGTTCATTCTTTTGCTCCTAATTTCAAAAAAAAAAATAAATAAAAAAATAAAAAAAGAGTATCTTGCTGTCAGGGTAATCATTCATGTTGGTTGGTCTGCGGAGTAACAGTTGCACTGTTGGTTGGTCTGAGAGGAGTCACAGTTGCACTATCTTTTTTTGTTTAAAATGCCGATGCCACGACGGCCTTGAGATATCATCATTGAGCTTACCGGGCCCACGTAATT